AAGAGAAGGTATTCACTTCAAATTATCAGGGTATAAAAACTATTGTCAACCTCTAAACAGTGTTTTATCCTTACCAGTTGGAAGAGGCTGTAAAAGATTTATATTCTTGCTGTAAGAAGACACAGCAGTTAGGACATTTCTGAACGCTTTATAGCACGTAAGACACCTGGTCCCACAAGTCTTGATAACAACCCAAAGGCTTCTCTTGTAAGAACAACAAGTTGCAAATATGCTTAGCAATAAAGGAAAGTTTATTGACCGAAGCAAAGATATCTCTGCGGTAAGTGAAATAACATCCTGAAGAAATGGTTCAAATCGCAATCGTGCACTGCCCCAGTGCTGAATAACATGGGTTAAGCTTAACTTAAGTTACATGTCAGCAGACACCGATCATCTTCAAATATTTCTCGCAAAAGCTTATATACGCTAAATAAGAAAATGTGCGAACTATGCTAAGAAACACTTGTAATCACTTGAGAGTATATTTAAAAAGAATCACTTGAAGTCCCGTGAAGGTCCGCTGTGAAACATTATAAACAAAATGTAAATTTTTCATTCATTGACTATAACGGAATGACGTATTAAAACAACATCTTTACTGTAACGTTTAGTAAAATTACTTTGATACAGTTTTTTGGCATGTGTAAATGCGATGTATTAGAATTGTAGAAATTGGCCTTCAGTATTAATAAGGTATCAACACCGGCCCGCCAGTGACAGAAACATTATAAGCTTATAACTTACATGATTTATACGATGTAAAAACTACAGAATGTAACAAATGTCCTCTTGTTCATTAGGCGGGAAAACTGTTTGATCAGGGAAAGACTGCCAGGGAGTGCCTCCTTACTCAAGAAGAGGTAATATAAGAAATTTGGAATTAAATATGTAGAAGTAATATATTAATGTTATGTCATCATCTGCACTGTAGACCCAATATTCTGACAAAGTTAAGAAGTTTAGAGCTACAACCCAACCACATGCTGGTGTTGAAAGAGTATTCCATGGACGAGCTGACGATCCCAACATTGCAAAGTACATATCACATGGAGTTAGCACWAAACCATCGTTATGGGTAAGTGCATAAGTATTAAGGGGATAACGAAGTGAAAAATGGTATCAAAGGAACCAGTTTTGTCCAGGAATTTTCATATGGTGCCATTGACATATTGATAAGATTTTTCCAGATAGTTTTTTTTCTGCCATGAAAGGTCTGGCCTCTTTGACAGATGAAAGTATGCATCCTCAGGAACCCAGATGTATTCCTGTCATTCAACAGTTAAATCATCTGTTGTTCGACAGAAGGTTATGCCTAGATTTCCAAGAATGGTGTTGATGTGCTTAAAATATACTATATTTAAGTCTGGAACAATAATACCAGTAGCCAATTGCTACAACAATTATACCACAATATAAATTCATGCAAGTTGAATTGCGTTGAATCATAYTTGTACCCACTTGTTACCCTTTTATCGATACCCTTGAAGGGGTTGATGGGAATGCTTCACACATTTTCCTTTGCCTTTCCCTTCATGCATTGCACGCAGCTGAAAACACGAGTACGAGTCTATAACTGACTTGAATCATTATTTTACTTTTATCATTCTCATAGGCAGGAGATCTTGCAAATCCTCCAAAAAAGTCCTTATTTGCACAAAAGATGCTTGAAAAGAAAGAGGGCACTTATGCAAGCAGTCAAAAAGCTCCATTGGGTAAGTGAAAGCCATGGTATATAAAAACTAGAATAAGTCCAAGACAATAGTGGCAACAAATCATTGTTTATTAATTTGATCAATATAATTTTCTAGGTGAATGTCATGATCAGATGCCAAACTTACCAAGTGGAGCCAAACTTTATGAGGACTGCTATGGAGTAAAAACAATTAAAGGTAAAAAACAGACCAAACTTTTGTTAGAACCAGAATTGATTGATTCTGTATCTCAGACATCCCAGTTTTCTGGTCCATCAAGTGACAAATCAAAAAATCATGGAGAAAAAACTATGAATCAGTTTAATGATACTTGTATCATTCTATAGTCAAAATAGAACACAAATGTATCTTTTTGTTCTTTAATTAAAAGATGGTACAGCAGGAGAGATGGTCAACCCTGCAAAAACTGCAGAACAAGTTGTGAAAGAGTCACTAGTTGGAAAAGATCTTTACAAATTCAGTCACCACGACTATGATGTTGGTAAGTATGGTGTATATAGAAAACTAGAAAGTCATGAATAAAAGATAACATTCTATTTATAGCTCATTATTATTAACTTTTGAAATATTAGGTGAAGGTTATGACAGAAAATACGATTGGAATCAAGTTCCAAAAAACAGCACCTTTGGTATTGAAACACCACACAATAATGATGGCATCCATGTTAAGAAGAGTTTAAAATGGCTGCATGATATCCAACAGTAAGAAGCATTCCATTAAATGGAAAATATCCTAAAATACATTCAGTAAAATTATTATAAATCAATAAATTTAATATGCTTTTTTCAACAGGGCAAAGTGCACTAAAATAGTATCAAAAAGAGTTGACAATTTTAGAGAAAGAACACAACCACAGCTTGGTCAATGCCATGACCCTATCAAAGACACTCTTAGAGTTGGACCTGACCATGTGTTTGGAGTTATTGTAAAGCCTGATGAATATGGTGCAGGAGATTTGATACACATGAGAATGCCTTCAGAATACCTACGTGGTAGGGAAAGAGAAAGAGGCATTGTTGCAGCCATAAGGCAACATCTAAAGAAAGCAAACTATCACAACTTTAATGATTTGAAAGCTGCATTTGAACATTATGATAAGGTAAATGTATGCATAGTATAATAACACTCCATTTTACAGTCCCCAGCACCATCTTGAAAGGTAACTGAGACTTGCATTACTATAATGCAAGACAACAGTTGAGCTTGCAATGATAGGCAGCTCTACCTGTGTGAATAACAATCGTCTTATGTGCCAAGAAAACTGTGGGCTCAGTACAGGCCCTGCCTTGCTTTGATGCAAGGGCTCTGCAACGTTTCAAGATGGTGCGTTTGGAACTGTAAAATGAAGTATCATATATAATATTATTTTATAATGTCAGTGGTAATGGGTCAAGGCAAACTCAAGAAAATGGACTTTGAGGCAGTCTTAATGACAATTCATTTAAACTGTTTTACATTATAATGATTATTTTCGTATTATTATAGGATAATTCAGGCATGATAAGCTTGGATGAGTTAGCCCATGTCTGCATACAGTTTAACCTTCCAGTAGAGCAAGAACTTTTAAARTCTCTTCTTGCCACGTGTGATGCTGATAAAGATGGTCAGATTAATTACACTGAATTTGCAAACTTTCTGAATTGGAAAGACCAAATGCCAAGTGGTAAAAAAAGTGAAGACAATGCAACTACAGAGGTACATGGAATATTCAAAATAAAATTAGAAAATGTTTGCCTAGAATTTCTGAGTATAAAATTACATGTATAATATCCGATATATTATATCAGGTAATCAATATAGCACTTGAGGCCAAAGCTTTGAAGTCATAGCCTGTGTTACAGCTGGAATTTTCTCTCAAAACTCCAAGTGTCACACAGGCTCTCAAGTCATAATGTTGACCAACAGTTTTCAAGTTTCTGACAATTTAAGATGAATGCACAATATTTATTTGCTGCATTGTTTATAGGATAAAATAGCTAACAGCATGCTTTTTTCAGTAAGCCCAGGTAAATTAAAAGGAAAAAATATTTTGTTCAAAACTAACTTGTTATGTTCTTTATGTTATTTCCAGGAAAAGGACAAAACTGAACTAAATCAATCATTGTCCCAACAAATTGATAAAGCTGTTGGTGGATGGAAAAAGTCCTCATCACAGATAAGAGCTACTGTTGGAGGAATACAAACAAATAGTATGTGTCATGAAAAACATGAATACTAACAAAGCTAGAAAATATTAACTTCTGGTGTGATATCTTTTTATTTTTAGATTGGAGAGCTTATGGCGTACCCACAATTCGATCTGATCTAGCAGCACCAAGAATACGAAGAGTTGGTGACAGAACTGTATGTTATACTTAATCTATCAATTTGCTTCATTGATGGTTTATTATGGGTACCAAAATCCCTTCAGTCTTGTTATTCAATACTTTAATCTGAAGATGGCCTTGGGATAACATTTTATATACAGCAGTTAACCAAACTATGAAGTGTGTTCATGGACTAATAATTTCTTTATAATTATCATCATGATAGAAAAATAAATTTACTTGGAAAAAAATTATTGGTGTAATGGCTTACTAGTAAACGTTACCTAAATTGATGCACTATAACAATAATATGAAATAATCTGGTTTTCTTCATAGAATTATGGTGATGAATCAGACGCCTATGGATTAATCAATCCATCATTGTACAGCAATCATGGTGTTTATGAAAAGGACTTCTTTCAGCCAAGAGATAGATTAGAGGTAAGTCAAGAGTTCAGTCTACTTCATTCTATTTTGCCAAACAAGCAACAAGCGCTTCTCCAGGACTTACCAAACACCATGTAAGGCACAGTCCACCTGACCTGGATTTGCCAATGCTGACTGAAGCAGAATTCAAAATCTTACAGCACATTTTTCCCAACAGATGAGAAGAATCATTGATGGTATTGGTGTTGAAATGACTCCAGAAACATTTGACGAAATATGGAATATTGCAACTACAAACAGTCCACAAGGGCTGGTAAGTAAAGTAACTCAATGTTGTTCTTTCATGATAATACATCATTGCATGCCTGCAAGATAACCCAGAACGAGTCAGAAAGTCTAGTTTTTTCACAACACAGTGGCGCAAAGTTAAGTTAAACATGACAAGCTAATCGCTTTCTTTCTCTTGCTTTCTAGGTGAGCGTAGAATCATTTAGAAATGTCATGGACGAAGCATCTGCACCAAAAGTTCTGCAGAGTCAAGCAGTTTAAAGTTGAAATAAAATATTTTTAGCATCATTATTGTAAATAGAAATGTTTTGATTTGATGAACTTGTTTTTATTTTCCATTTTGGTAGATATCACTATTGATACATTATGCAGCAATTAAATGAATTATATTTTAAATACTACAGACTTCTAATACCTATATTACATCTAAGCAGTAAGGTTTGAATTAGATTAAAAGGTACAAAAAATAGTCTTTAGATCTATTGTGCTGTCAGGCCCTCATCAGAATTCGATTCTTGGCCCATAACTTGTATAACAAACCTTTGAGGAGGCTTCCTATTTCGATTTTTAATTTGAAAAATAAATGAAAATTTCAAAAAGTAAAAACTAATTGAATGTGATCCTTTTTAATTTGGACTAACTATTGTGCACTTAGTGTGATTATAGCATAACTTACAAGAAAACAACTCAGGACATTGATTATTATAATTTCTACTTACACCTATTTACATAATTCCAGTCTAAATTTCTCTTGTCCAAATATATATCATTGTCAATATTAGTTTGTTGAATGAATCATAATTCATAGTTATGCATTTGTATTATTACAAGGCTGTCAATGATTAAAAAAAGATTGCAAAGTACATTACTGTTAATATTACAAATAATTCTATGCCTTTTGAACATTATAATTATTAGTGTCTGACTACAAAAGGCCTACTTCTCTTCAGGTACCATCACTGATCTCTTTTCCAAATTCCTCATGTAGAACTTAACTAGCCATCACAAACACTGCCACATATGCATCTTCTAAAGGACATTCAAGATCTGGAGGCAAAGCCAAAATATCTTTTCCATTCTGTTTAGTGAGCTGAAAGCCTAAAGCTAACAAAAAACTTTTTCCAGGATTTGATGAATGTGTATAAATCCTCTTCAGTCTTGGATCATCAGCTGGTGTATTCTTACCACATATAGCATTCCTTATCTGAAAAATAAGATCAATTTTTTTAATGTTTCCCATACAGAGTCTTACAGTTTTTAATGAAATATTCAATACATATATATGTACAATAACGTAAGCTTATAAACCCAGTTAATCGTGTTTAATAATTACCACAGTGTCAAATCTACATTTTGTTACTTTATTTGTACATACCAAGTACAAAAGTTGATCACAGTATTCTGGAGTGACATCTTTTAAGGCAATGTTCTGAAGATTTGTGAGTCCTATAAACAGCAAAATTTATCAGTATAAAAACATGTTGAATGTAGATACATGGGATTCATGGATCTAGTCTATAAGATTTATTCTTTTCCTTTTTTCTCTGTTTTATTTCTTTCATTTCTTTTTCAAATCACAAATTAATAATAATTGTAACTTTCATCAATTTTTTTTTCTTCTATTTACTTTTTGTCTGCTTTTTTCTAAGTTCATTGTATTATTACTATTAATAAGTACAACACTTCTTTAATTAACAATAATATTATTACTTAAATGAATATTGCAAATATAATCATACCATGTAGAGCAGTTGCAAGCCCACAACAAGACAAGACTACATCCTTCTTATCATCCCCAGGGTAAATCATCTTTCCACCCTTTTTGCTGTCGAATGTTATCCCAAGAATCGTCAAAAGCCTCTCCCATGAATTGCAGGAGCCAAACAATGACTTTACTTCATCAAGAGAATATGATTTCACTTTTTCTTTGTCAAAGTAATCACAAACATTATCAAGCTGGGAATAAATTAAAGTATACATAATCAAAATGCAATGATTTAGATTCAAAGATTAATATAGATTGACATTGCAAAATCAATATTATATGAAACCATATATTGATATTGTAATTATAACAGCAAAACTCAAATGAAAATTTTATCTTTTCAATGTTGTCTATTTTTTTCCATAACTAGATTTTATCTATTCATTCATCCTTGCAGTCATTGTATATGATACATACCAATTGCTCAATTACATGGCAGTATTCTGGAGTAGCTAAAATCTCCCTGAAACACTTGATTATATCACCTTTGTGTGGCGACTTCATCAAAGCGTTGAATGCTGATGTCAATGCAGTATCTGACATTAGTAAAAGATGACAACTTTCTGAGCTCAGTATTTGAAAAAAAGACACATCCAGGAATGCTATCAAACACACAAAAAAACCCTGATGGCATTGCAGTGGTAAAAGATAATGCTCTAAGAGCTTTACAACTAACAATTAATACTATCAAACATTTTTTCAAATCTGTACTGTACTCTAAAATCTTTGTAAACCTACCTGGACCATCAGGTTGATCCATGCTGAAAGCATCTGGAGGTTTACCATCGGTTGCATCTGTCACAACATCTTTTAGTTTCTTATCGACATCTAATTCTATGAGACCAAGTCCTTCCAATAATTTCAACCCATAACATCCATAAGCCATGACAGTACCATTTGGTATGTCAAACGAATGGTGATGAGTGTCCTTGATGGAACCAGAAATGTTAACTGATGCTTTACTGATAATATCTGTGCTGGCAACTGCATCTCCTAATAAGCAATAGGTATAAGTTAGACTTATTTCACTGTGATATCCATAGTTAATATTAATAATTATTCTTTATGAAGGTAACAAAAGTGGACATAATGTTTGTTGCCTGTGTTTAAAAATTGATCAAGCTTCCTTCCTACGACATTAATGGTAGAACTCAATATACAATGTAAAGGACGTTTCACATTTTATATGATGCACACGACTTGACGCACAAGACAGAGCTTGAGGGAAGATTTCTCAGCAGCGGCGGCCTGTTGACAATGACTTCTTTGCCGTTCCCTATGACATCTTGAAAGGTAGCCATACCTTTGCATTGAATTGAGACAACTGAGCATGTAATGATAGACACCTTCTTTCACACCTACAGACAATTATGTCTATCATTGCACTTTGGCCCCCGAGTTTTGCTGCCTCATAACAAAAATGGTGCAAGCTTCAGAATCTGTTGCAGAAGCATGCTGTGGGAGAAAGCTCCTAAAAGATCCAGGTCATCATCAACAAGGAGCAACACTGAATTGTGGGAAGGGGGTATAAAGAAAAAGAATAAGAGAGTGTCTTGAATATGCAATTTTGGTTCATTCATGACAATAATTTTGCTTTGAGCAAAGCAGTAATTTACTAGTATAGCTTGTGACATATAACAATGATGCTTTTACCTTCTACTTGAATATCTGACTGTATATTTGTATCTTTTGTTGTATTCAGTGTTTCGAATACTATACAAAGACTTCTTCTTCTACAATTCAAAATGGCTTGTACAAATTCATGGTCCAGTTTGAGTGTCTGGTCCTTCAAAGCATCATTCAAATCCTGCCATCTTATCTCACTCTTATTGATGGACCCAAGGTCCATTTTAACGACAAAAGAATCAGCTGTGGAAACATCGATACCWAGTTCCTTKGCTATYTTCCCACCAAGTTTACCAGATACGTGTAATGTTGGTTGGTTGGAATAGTTTGAAACAAATTCTGATGTTTTTATTTTCTTGCTCACATCTATAGGCTGAAGATAAAAAATTCAATTGTATAGGTATAGTGGTTGACATCAATGGTCATGAGATTAAAACTATTCAAAAGGACCTTATATAAAATATGTTCATTTATATAATAAAACTTGCAAAGTTGTGATGGAAAAGTGTCTAATGGGCAAACAAAAATGATAAAAAAATGCAAGTCAGATTTTCCACTAGAAAAAAATTTCTCCCTTCCCTATTTTTCCACAGGGAACCCAAAATTTAATAAAAAAATGAAAAAGAGGATTAAATGCAGAGAGGACTTTGTATGTCCAAATGGACAATTAAAAACATTTCTGAAGCGAGCTTTTCGCAGTCTTATACATGTACATGATTTCAATTCTTGTAGAGCAGCTATATAAACACAATGTCAATAGGGTGATTCGTTGGAATTAGGCCAGCATACACATGTAGTGTCAAAATAAGCGGGTAAATAAGCTCAAACTCTGTTCTGGAAAATCTTCCATCTGGGTTCTCAAAGCAGTCCACATATTCTAGATATCAATATAATTTAACACACAGATATATCATACATCAACACTTTTGTGTTAGACATTGAGATTTCATTTTAGCAAAAAATGTCTTTTCTGAGAATTCACCCTTGCCACCCAGAGCCGCCTTAGAATCCATATTTTAATAATTCCAATACATTTTACACTTGCCTCACATATCATACTTTTAATAAAGAAAACTATTGGAGCAAACAGACCTACTAGTAGATTAAGCAACAAAAAGTAAGCTTATGATTTCAAAACCGCACCTTCGTCATGAGCTCATTCAAGGTAAAAGGAGTTGGCAGATATTTCGTCGGCCTCCAAAACCAGCGACTTTTCTTCTTTTCGATAATACACATAATTKTGCATTGAGAGGCTGAGTTGAGGTCAACTATTGGGTGAAGTGAGGACCTCCCTGTGTCCTTAACAAGTTGTTTCGAAGTAGATTCGAAGAGCGCCATTTTGATTCCTGTAGATTTGCCCTAAGAGACAGGGATCCCAATTTTCAAGGTGTACAAACCGCAGGGAGTCCGCAGCGTTAAAAAATGCGCCTAGTTGTGCAATCGAACAAAACTATAACTAGTAAAACTATAATTAATACTATAAAATGATTATAAAAACTAGTATAACCTTAAAACCCAAGCAAAAACACCACTCAAGTATCTTTTTATTGTAAATAATTTTTTTTGATTATATTTTTTTACAATTTTTGGCATAAGAATATTTGATTATTTCTGTAATATAGTATATCTGAGTACATAGTTTTCCGGGGAAGGAACACTGGGGTTGCTATAAAGATTAAAATTATATCAAAATCTATTTCAATATGGGGGTTCGGGTGGGGTCTAAAAACTTAGCATATGTTGTCCTCAAATAATCTCATAATAGAAGCAAATACCCTATTTTGTTTAAACGTTTATAAGACTACTGATTCGTCATAACGTCTCTCCGTACCCACACGATAAAAGAAGTGCTTTATACTCTGCGATAATGGAAGCTTCATCGTCAAGAGTAAGATCAAGATGAGCGTCAGGGTTGTCTTTCGTTATATCAGGGACGAGGTCTTCAACTGCTTGCTCGACATCCGAATCTTCACTGTCAGAAGTTGTTTGCGAACTTTCAGCTGCGTCAAAGAAACGAAGGTCAGTATTCTCAGTACGAATCAATGAATGGTGACTTTCATCAGGCAGGCTCTTGCTTTTGGGCCGTCTGGCTATATGACGGAAATTTTTGTATCCCCACCTTTTTCGCCAACGCGTGTCCGAACGTATTCGAAAATCTTTGAAAACAGTCTGTACAGCATGTAGCCGGGTATGGAAACGTTGTGGACGAGAGGATTTTAGCACCGAAACAAAATAATTGTGGATTTAAAAAATACCGTCATCGTGTAGACTGGACCATAATCCGTGCAGCAGCCTAAACTGGCCACTCCTAAGAATTGGTGGAAAAGACGGATCTGACCCCCTCAAATACTTTATGATCAGGTTAGTATTGGAATTTATACATTCTGATGAACTACACGTCTTATTTCAAGTAAAACATTAAAAAGCTAGAAACGACAGATTTGGTGCTGCACATGCATTCTTCAAAGCGAATTACCATTTGAGGAGCAAGATGGCAACACTCCTCCCGTTGAAACGAGTTCCTCGATAGCTCTTCGACTATTTCCACCAAATCTTTTCAGAGCTTCCCTAATGACATCGATGTTAAAACCCATTGAAACTATCTGAAGATGAAACAAAGATATCAAATTACTAGATGCGCGACCTTGTCATCATCATCATCATGGCTGTCAGTCAAATATAATAGTCATGATCATTCAATCAATATAACTAGTAAATGGCACCTGTGCAACGAGTTCATCTGATGGTTCAAAGTCTTGTAATATTCTAAAAGAATAATAAAGAAATGATATCAATAAACGTGCAGACGCGGCTAACTCTGTTACTGTTTTCAACTTACTGATCTGGAGGAAGGTGAAGCAGTTCGGGATGATCTTCTAAAATCTTAGAAAAAAAACAGTGGTAAGGAATTTGCCAGCGAAATGTCACTTGAGATAAACTTGAAACAACATCGTCACTTTGAGGTCGACAACAGAAACATTTATTGTATCTGCGATACAAGAGAATCAATAAAATATATCTCTAATGCGTCTCGGGGGTGGAGGGGGACCCACTAAAACCAACACTTCAAATATTGTAGATAAGTTAGTACAATTAATAATCAGGCGAAACTTGTTTACCTGTAAAGCTTTGTCCATGCTGTTATCAGATTGACGGAGGGCCTCAATAGCAGTTTGACGAGAGAAACCCATACTCATTAGCGCTTCAAAAGATGATAAGTTTACCCTGTCGACAAAACGAAACGTTGCTGTGTACATGACTTACTATAGAAGAGCTGTTTTGCTATTTTTCTTATGTAACCACACTTACCATTCACCACTAGCGGTTTTCCCTAACTTTCTTTGAATTCTCTTTTGCTTTCTTTCTTCTTTTTCRCGTTCCTGTCTTTCTTTGAATTCCTTTTTGAAAGGAGAAAGGTATAAAAACATTTTGGTGAAAAACCATCAACATCAATCATGCACCCGAAAAACTTTTTTTAACATTTCGCCACACCACTAGGACGCAGACATAGATGATGAAAATACGTTGCGAAGTTCACCTGTTTTCGCCGTGTAATGTAATCTATTGCGTGTGTAACATCCCCATCACAGGCCCGCAGTCCAAGTCTAGCTTCTCGAACAGTAAATCCCATCGACACCACTACAAAGAAAAAAAGAGTCAATTTTTGAACGCATCGTCTGTCAGTATATTGACTACAGGATGACAACAAGTGAATGAAATTAGGAAGACTGAAAGGGCGAAAGAAAAAATCGGAAAACGAAAAATGAAATTACTGAAGAAACTTAAGTAAGTTCAAAAGGAAGGAGAAAGAAGCATACAAAGAGAAGAGTGTCCAAGTTATCATTCAAAAGTACTGTCTTCTTTCCAAACAAAAGAAAGTCAATCATCACAGGAATCGAATGTACATCCATTCGATGGAACTGTCAGCAATTGATGATACAAACGATTCTATGATACAGCCAACATTAATTTTGTGAAAACGTGTGCAAAAACAATGGGTGCAAAAATAATGGTCCACATTGTGAAATAACCAGTGAGGTGGGAGAAAGAGAGAGAGGTTGTAAGAAAAGAAGGAATGGGTAACCAAATACATTGATCAATAAAATCAAGACTGGGTATGAACAGAGTGTTAAATATCAATTTTTGACTTGAACGACTAAAAAGAAATCACACCAAAGTGTTATTACATTGCGTGAGCTGGTTGTCCCCAATGCGAAGTCTTGCCATTCCACTTTCAGCTTTTCTAAGAAGGGACAATGCATCACCATAACAACCTGTATGATATGCACAGACAGCTTGTAGAGTATGCAGTCGCACAAATAAAGCCCGCTCTCTACCAGCACCACCCTAACACGAAAAACATCTTAGTAATATTGTTTATAATGGAGGTCCGATCTGATACCAAAGCCACAATTACCTGTACAGCTTTAAGCCTTTCAAGATTTGGTCCATAACTTTTTTCAAAACATTCTTGGCTTGTACATAATCTCTTTTCTGTTTGATAGAACTACTTTAATTAGATGAAGATGAATTGCATAGTTAAGCCAAGCTAAGGCAAAGGAACTCACCAGCATCAGGAAGATCACTAATACTCTTCAAACATAGATAACACCACACGACATCCATACAGAGAATTGCATAGTTATCCACGGCATTTAGAATTTCTGCTCTGCACTGTCTACACAAAAGAACTAGATAAACTAGACTGAAATAAAACAAAATATATTGTCATTATAGAAGACTAACCTAAACTCCTTGTCTGCCTCAAGAAGATATAGTAGAGCTTCTGCATTTCTGTTCTGCTTGAGTATGCTTTTCCCCTTCTCATGAAGTGTCATAGCAAGAGCTAATGCCTACAATAATTATTTCAATATTTTAACAGTTTGCATCAGGAATATCCTTAGCACCCCTTGGCCCCCCTGGCCTGGTTCTGATGCACCCTGCAAATACCACATAATAGAAAAAAGGTGCAAAACAATATTTGAAGATCATACCTTTCTTTCACTTTCTGGCAATGATAATGGTCTACCTTCCTGATCTCTGATCTCCAGAAAATATTTTTCTCTCAAACTTTCTCCTCCTAAGGATTCATAAAAATGTCAACAACATTAATTTTTTTTTCATTTAAGTTAGCTGCCCCACCTCTCCCTCCCTCCCTACTACTTTACGGCTCACCCATTGTATTTATCACATGTTAATAATGAACCAATTAAAAGATGGTTTTTAAAAAAATTTAAATAATTATAGGTAATATTGAAASCAAAAAAGCACAAACCGTCCATTCTTTTAGATAGAACCTCTGCAGCATGCCTAGTTCTAGAAACTTGAGAAGCCATTTCTTGTTCAAGTTGTTGTTTTTGTCTTGCTTCAATTTCTGACTCAGACAGATGGATGACCAATAGCTGGCTATTGTTCCTGATGTTTTGGTTTTCTAAAATATTATCTAAAAATGAAGACAGCAATTAATTGAACAATTTGTACTTGGAAACTCCAGGAAAAGGATTCTCCAGTTAAAATATTGATATTTCATTACCTTCATCAATGACATTTCCATTACAGATGAGCTTCATGTGTAATGGATCAATTCCTGTTTCTTTGCTTAACCTAATATTTAACAGAAAGCAATTCATTAATAATTCAATAATTCTCTCCCCCACTTTGTCTTGTTTTAGGTCTCTTCGCAACTTGGGGGAGAGACCTGGAATGAGCTGAATAATGCCTGCAAGAGTAAACATCTTGGAGAATTAAATAGCATTTGAAATTCATATTAGATCTACTGAATAATAAATCAATTGATATTTTAGCTCTTACTTAGTCTTCAGATCAGCACCAGTAATTTTCAAAGGAGTATGTATAACTATCTTTTTATGACTTCCAACCAGGCGAGCTTTCACTGTTGCTTCTCCCAGTTCACTAAATCTCTTTTTAGCTTCAAGTTTTTCCAGGGCATGCAACCGTAGGTTCTCCAAAGCCTCAACAATAACAGCTTCATCTACACCCAGTGAACTAGAAAACTGCGATACAAGCTCCTGTTTAAAAACAAAATATTTATTTTCAATGGCTGCTAGACCAAAATATATGTGAGGTCACTTTGAAGTGATAGCCTTTATGATACAAAGACATTACTGAATACCAAATGACAAAGTGCTAAACAAGACCCACAGTAAGTATCACCAGATGTATCTGCTTATCTAACTAAATGGCAAAAGCTGATAGTGACTCTTTGTTAAGCTACCTATGTCAACAGAATGCAGATTGAGGAAGTATTCTAGAATCTACATGTAGCCCAGTCTTTTGCTTCTTCTATATCGAAGTGTGAACCGGCCCTAAGTGAAATGGGGAGGGATTGAAAGAAATATAAAATTTACAATTAATATAAACTCTTTACCTCGGAAAAGTTGCCTCTTGATTGACCTTCCACAGTAAATGGAGGAAGCCAGAGTCTTATCCGTTCTTTATTCAATTGCTCGCGTACTCGAGCTAAAATTGCTTCAAATTGAGCACCAATATCTGCCATAATTACCTCATAACCTTAAAATTTTCACAAACAAATGTTTTCCCGGTATTTAACAAAGGAAAATAATCAATATAGTAGAACAATAAATTTACAATGACTTCGCGAAAAATTCTTGTTTTACTTTTGACTGCAACCGCTGTACACAATTACCGCTTTTTTGATTCAAACGAGTAACCAGGTCGAGGCTCTGAATCCAAGATGGCGGGAGATTTGTCGTTGTAAACAAACTTTTTATTATATCTGGCCTTTTCTGTGATCTGATGATGGATTATAAGTTGTAAAAATGTAAGAACCATCGAGGGCTTTGCGCTCCATATGGAGATGATATTTTTAACATAATTTCACCAGTTTCTTTGGCCTAGCTTTCAGTGTTATTAGACTTATTACACCAGGTACACCAGCGTCAATATTTTGTTGTTGTTGACATGTCCTCAATTCTACTGCCTGTCGGACAGTGTGGAAACCAAATAGGTCACGAACTTATGACATTGCTTCATAACCAYAGCAGTAGGCATCCTTTGAGTCACAGAGATGGGAAAGTTCGTTGTGTTTGCGTTGAYAGTGAACCCAAAGTGATCGGACATGTGGCTAGAAGTGATCAACGACACCACCAACTCTTCAGAGAGGAAAATATGATAGTAGGACAAACTGGACGAGGGAATAACTTTGCCATGGGCTACTATGGAAATGGTGACATTACTAAAGAAACTTCTCTTTTGAACAGAACAGTGGAAGCCATGAGAAAAGAAGTGGAAAGATGTGATTATTTTGCAGGTATATTAAGTTATTATTTATGCTGGTTGCTGACCACGATTTTGAGTTTAAATAGCATATCRGAGATAAATGCMGGGGYAATGGCTGAGAATGACCCATTATTATTTGGTATATTGTAATTTGCATCCAAAAGGGGATAAAGAGGATTGATGATGATGATATTGTATTTTACTAGGTACACTAGTTATCCACAGTCTAACAGGAGGAACAGGGTCAGGACTTGGTTCACGACTTGTTGAAACACTCCGTGACACCTTTCCCTTGGCACATACTGCATCTGTAGCTGTATCACCTCATCTGTCTGGAGATAGTCCCTTRCAGCATTATAACTCTCTTTTAAGTCTTGCTACTCTACAAAGGTAAGATCAAGCAAGGGGTTTAGCTTAAAAACTTATGCTTCCTGGCCTGAGCCTTGACCTCAATATTGAAAAAACACTCTGTCTAAAGATGACTTACTTTCTATGAAAAATGCAGTAAAGATAATGCAATTTGTACTATTTGTACAATTATTAATGTGACATAATTTTTTTCATTTTAGAAATGCAGACTGCATCACAGTTTTCAGTAATGATGATGTTTTACGGCATCTTATATCTCACATGAGTWGCACAGCAAAGCAACAGACATCAAGTAATGTATCATTAAAGCAAATGAATCAACTTATTGCTGCAAGTCTTGCTGGRGTGCTGCTTCCTCTTGAAGAGAAGCCCCAAAAGATAACGTCAAGTAAATCTTCAAATAAATCCACTCTAAGAAAGAGTGATAGACATGCATCTTCAATCATGAAACAATCTTACAAGCATTCATTGCCAGAAAGAAAAGAAAGTCCTCATAGTTTGTCTGTCAGATCAGGAAGAAATCTCTGGTCAGCAAGCTCTATGATGTCTACATCAACAAGTTGTTCAGATGCTTCAAYCTTTGATGATTCAAGTGCAGCAATGCAGAGGCAACCTAGAGCTACAGTTTCTGCAATGATGCGATATAGAGGAATTACACCTGAAGCAAGCTCTGAAAGCATCTCTCAATCAAGAACCAAAGACAAGTTTGTTTTCAGTGAAGTAGAATTTGACAATGCAACCMGAGGTAGTGAACCATGGGAAATGCTCAGGTCTGTTTGTCCTGAACCATCAAAAAAGTTTACAACCATTCACCATTTAATGAAGCCTAAATGCACTTGGGAATCACTTACTCAATCTTTACTTCACTCTACACATCGGTACGACAAAGGCGGCAAGCAATTCTCCTCATTAAATGCTTTACTTATTGCAAGAGGCACTGGAGAAACTCCTTTCATTGACTCTTTGGCAAAAATTGAAGAAAGACTCAAGACCTCACTTGGCTGTGTGGAATGGAATCCATTTCCTATTGATTATTGGATAAGTAAGGGRCTGCAGATTAATGAGCATTTTTAACAACGACAACATATTATAGATGGCGATMMCCMAGTCCAGKAATCTACCTATAACCAGACTTGATCATGTCGAGTCCAGTGCAATTAGCACTAGTCATGCCATGAAACTAACTTTATTAATTCATTTTTGCTAGGTAAATACAGTGGTGCAGGCTCATATGGTGCACAATCCCTTACACTTTGTCTCAACTCCAGTCGAATCATTGAGTTTCTTCAGGACACAATGGTAAAGGCAAAAACAATGTATGAAGTTGGTGCTTATGTACACTGGTATGAGAAACATGGCTGTACTAAGGTAAGACAAATAATGATTGCACTATGAAATATGTGGTGCTCAGTGGCTAACTCGTGGGAACTCGTACACCTTTCCCAGTTAGTTACTTACCAAAGCGAGCTTGCTGTCTGTTTATCTATTATCATCTTTTCATTTAATGTTTTTTTATTGATATATAATATTTTTTATACCTTAGGATGATTTTAATGATGCTTTTTCTACGTTAAATGATGTGGTGGACGAGTACAGACTTGGAATATTGTAGGTAGTCGAGGAGTTAATCACACCACTGACATTACAAAAACGATTCAAATCGTAATCGACTCCATGCGTCCGTGTTTTGATTAACATTTTTATTCATATATTTTTTTTAATTTTTTATTGGTTGGAGCTTTGAAAATACCAACATCTTGAGGAAAGAGAATACTTTCATCATTTGTAAGCAATATGGTGTGCATTACTTTGTGGATCTTAGAAATGCGTTGCATCTGGAAGATGGTTTAAAAAACTGAAGAATGTGCAGCATCGCTTTCTAGAACTATTTTAGGGTTAATAAAAGGAATAATTAACTCTGCAATCTACAAAATGAATCACTATATTGAGCGCATTATAGAATATACTGAATATGTTGTAGTCCCCTTTAACCGGAAGTATCAGGAGGTCGTTAGTCRTCAAGTGCTTCTAGTAAATGTTCCGTTATGAGAAGGACGTTGACGAGTGAAAAACCTTGTAGAAGAACAATAAACACTGTGATGTTGTCTAGTGAACCTGCTAAAATTGATGMYTTCACTAGTCTCCTGGATAAATACTTCGCTAAGAGTTTCTCTTTATCTTTTCTTGTCAAAAGTGAATCAGTTTTCAACAAACCATGCAGCTTGACGAGACTTGCCGAGTTTGGCATGGAATGCCTTCGCTTAAAACAACATCTTCCCTCGAGTTCCTCAAAACTATCTTCACTTGACTGTTCATCATCTTCCCATCGTTGTTCATCACCATGGAGACTTTCCCCATGGTAACTCAAGCACGTGTCACTCATACGCCTTCCTATTCTCTTGCTCCAGCGTGGAATCTTGATTGATACGTGAATTACTGGCTTTTGCTCGACTTCTTCTTCGATTGTATGAATCGAGTACATCCGAAAGCCTACAGTGGTGTACCTACGTTCTGTGATCTTCTTTGGCTTAAGAAACTGTTCGAAGTAGGAATGTCGATTGTCTAACCTTTCATAGACATCTTCATACTCACTGGCAAGATGTCCGTCTTCTAGGAGACATGGGATCGGATCCCCATAAACAATTCCATTGAGGATGTCCCTTTTGATTTCCCTAAAGAAACCAAATATTAGCATTGATGTCTCTTCGTATGAAAACATCTTCCACAGTCCGCTGGATGCAAGAACGATTATCTGGTCGCCATCAAGAAGCTTCACGTGCTTAAATTTTGGATCATTGATAATACACTGGTTGATTCTTATATCCCCTATGTTCCCAAGGCCTCTGGTGGTCCCTAGAGCGCCATTTATCAGGGCGCATTTTTCTGTTTTCACAATCACGCCTTGGCATCGACGGACCCTRTCTCTTTCTTTCTTGTTATAAAGATCATGCCTACTGGCGAGTACTTTAACAATCCCTTTRTCTCGCACTAGAAGCGCGCCAACATTGCCTGCGTTAGCAAGAAAACATGCGTCRGATGTCAACAGACACGTCAGAGCAGAGCAGCCGCTCCARCGACTYCGCGAYTGTTCYTCATCTTCAGTCGTTTYGAGCAACATTTTCTGGAACTTATGATAAGCTCTCTTAAATGCAGCACTTATGCATTCTTTAGATAATTGTTTCTTTAATTTAACAACTGTTTCTTGTAATTCGTCCTTAAGAAAAACATGAAGATATTTTGCACACTTTTGGGCTGTCACATTCCCACAGTAGCCATCGTAAATACCCATRAAACAGCACGGTGGATCATCGAGGAACTGATCTTCGTAGGAATGAGTRTCCTCCATGTTTTTCCATCTTGAGTTGCTTTCTTCGCACAGTCCGACAGCAAGTGTGCAGCACATCTCTATGTTGGAAACCTTGTTAATTTGAGGATCTATTGAGATAAAAATGGACATATATTTCGATTAGATAAGATCCAGGACATGTCACTAATCAACGCATTACGTATTCAACCTAGACACTTCCTGATAACATTTCTTGATCCTTTTTGTCTGTTTAGATTTTTTTATTATTTGCTTKATTTTTTTAACCTTAATATTTACTTGGATATTTTACATTTGTTTTGTCTGTATTGAAACAGTGTTTTGTATCTTACTTTTAGTTCATCCGCCGCCATCCGCGYATATCACAAAAGATGCAAATAAGTGATTTTCAATTAGTCGTATTTTAATTAAAATGGATGTCTGGTGTCTGAATTCATTGCTTCTAAAATACTACGTATATTAAAGTTACTTATGGTATTGTTCCTGCTCGTGGGGCTTTAATATCTTTAGAAAAATTGAGTATTTTGGAAAGAAAGCTGATTTTTTCATMATTTTGTCAGTACCAGTTATAGAAATTCATACTTACTTAGATCWGTGTCCAACACTCGATATGTGTTTCCAGTGCCTTCCAGTTCCGATTTTAAAACTTCAAATGCTGTGTTTATCTTTTGTAAGTTTTTGTCCACAAATCCTTTCCCATTTGTATGTTTTACYGACTCTTGGAGCCTTTTTATTAGTGTTTTTCTTCTTTTGATTAAAATTTTCAAATTTTGTGGCGTGAAGTTTGACGCAAATTTAAAAGTTTGCAAGGCAGTGTGAAAGTCTCTATGACTTCTTACATGACAAATATTGATATAAGATGAGCACTTAGAGCACGGTAATGAAATATTTGGCAAAACCAAGGGAACTACAGAAACATTATGGACACTACTTGRTGTCTTTGTTCGTAGATCTGACTTGGTTTCAATTTCCGACTCTTCGCTATCTGATTCTTCGTATTCTTCTGGTTCTTTGCTATCCTCGTTTTCAGAGCTSTCTTCGTCGTCTTCTTGCATGTCAACGTCGTCACGGATATCGTTCTTGTCATTATCCGCGTTCTCTGACTGTTCACTCTCTTCTTGTTGTTGTTTTGGTCGAGAAAGTAGATTTACKGTCACTGTCGCAAACTCATCTTGCACGGAATTMCGTTTCAATTCTTCTTCGTTTGGCTTGGTAAGTACTAAATTAAGATTTAAGGATCTTTTTGTTGTGTTCAAGTCTCCTTGGGATTGTGTTGGAATCCCTGGAGCGACTTTAAATCTTCGCGGCATATTCATTTTGACGATCACGACATCCTCATCGCGGCGGTCTGACGATGTTTGCTCCGAAAATGACCCATTGGTTTGGCTCATTTTGATTTGCATGAACTCAGAGTTCATTCATTAGCCAAACAACACCCCTAAAGACCATAAACACTGTGCTTGAATGTTAAGAACCTGTTTAATGACCTATTTATACAATTAATTATCAACCATATGACGTTGCCTTGGTAACTTTTGAAATCCCTAAAACTGGCAAAACACTAGAATAATGAAATCTAGCTAAACAGTTATTAAAATTGCACGTCACGGTCTCGTAAATTAGCATTCTTTGGACTAAAGTCCACAGAGTGATACAAGATGCCACCATATCATGTTGGGGTCTTTGACATTTTGACTGATACATGATATTATCGCTTGCTTACAGAGGACTGACAATGAACAATAGTTAGATAGCTATGCATTCAAAAATCGTAATATTTATAACTCGTGATGCGAAAATGGTGAACCATCCACTGTTGTTTGTGATTGTGTTTGTTTGTTTTGTTTCTTTTTGGTGTGTGCGTTTGTATTTTGTTATTCTTTTTTTTTTTCTTCTTCTTCTTTTTTCTTTTTTTTCTTTCTTTCTTTTTTTTTCATTGCGGAAGTAGAATAGAAATTTTCCTAACAGCTTATAATGATTAAACATATCGAAACGTTTCATTTACGACGCAAAATCTAATACTTTTAAATTGTTATTTTGTCACTATTTTTTTCTTCATCTGGTCAGCGGTACTACACTTTAGGCGGGAAATAAAAGTGTTATGACATACGCGTAGTTGATGCATGTGCTCTGTTACGTAACAGAATCAAGTGATAACATTGTTTATTTATCCTCGAAATCACCTTTTATTTACTAYTTGTAATTWCGTACAARTCTATAATCCTGTTTTCCCGGTACCTGATCAGTCATCGGCGCTTTTTTTTCTGCAAATATCGGAARAAAATCATCTCAATTTCGAGCAAAATGGCAACTTCTGAACCTCCATCGAAGAAAGCGAAAAAGGAAAGCAAAGGAAGCGRCGAAGAGATAGACATCATGAAGCATTATAACGAGAAAAGAAAAGGTGTATGCGATTCTGTTTTGGACTTTAAGTTCAATAAGAAACGAGTTCGTCTTTTGACGAGCACAACAGACATGAAGGATGATTGCAAAGGCATTTTATACTGGATGTGGCGAGATCAACGTGTCCAAGGTAGACTTTTGAATTGATATACACTATGTATCAAAGAAAATATTATAACAGGGGCGGATCCAGCTGGTGGGTGCAGGGGGTGTGCTCCCCTTACTGAGATCTGTATCCTTCGGTACTTTTAAAGTAATATATAATAATATTGTATATCTTCATGATAATAATTTTTGTGGGTTGCTACCCCTCCTGAGAGCCCCACGGCCCTCCCTGAAGAAAATCCTGGATCCGCCCCTGAGGTGCATAAATTGGCCTAACAAAACAAAGTACATGACATATGTAACGTGACTTATGTTTTAAGTTGGTGTGACGCAAAGCTTGACTTGAATTGTTAGAATTGTATTAACAGTACACTATTCTGCAAGATATATATCATCAAGCTGCTTATTCCATAGATAACTGGGCATTGCTGTATGCACAAAGATTGGCATTAAAACAACAAGTTCCTCTACATGTGTGTTTTTGTTTACCAAAACAATTCCTTGATGCAACCATAAGAAAGTATGGCTTCATGATTAAAGGGCTTCAGTTTGTGGAAAAGGTAAACAAATTGTAACAGGGCTTTAGTTATAAGCTTCTTTTGCAAGAGGCAATTTCAGGTTCCTTTCAAAAAATTCAGGTAAATACATAAAATATTGGGTGTTTTTGGTAAAAAAAATTGTGTTTTCATGTAAGTGTCTGCAGAGTGTTTCTCTGAAAATAGGCAATGTGCAGCAATGCCATTTTGTGCTGCAAATCATAATAGTAGTTGCAGTCCTCAGACTTACATAGATCATGAAATATCTCCTTTAGAGTCACCTTYATGGCTTAGGAGGAATTTTGTAGCGGATACAAAAAGTGTGAGGATAGCAACTACCATCATGCTTTGCTGCAAAAATGGTGTCGCTGTACGTTGCCTATATTGTCCMTTCCATTGATATATCAGCAAARCAACATTGACGTAAACACTCAAAAAATRTACACTAACYGTTGATGATCAYTTGAAATTMAGTTGACTCACATGACTACTTTAAACAATCCATAATCTTTTCCAGTCTTACAAATCATTTATTCAACATCCTTACAAAATTTTACAGGAGTTAGAAGATCTAGACATAAAATTTCATCTTCTTCTTGGTGAACCTGACCAAGTTTTACCTGGATTTGTTAAGGAGTTTGGTTTTGGTGGAATTGTATGTGATTTCTGCCCATTACGACTTCCAATGAAATGGGTCAATGAGTTTGTCAAGTCTCTTCCAAAAGATGTCCCTCTCTGTCAGGTGATTAGATAAATCAGATAATTCCTTACCCAATGCAATATTCTATATTACAGAATTATAAGTTAATAATATAGTTATAGCACTATGTAATTCTAAAAAATTGTTATTCTTTGTTTATCTGTTGTATAATCATTCATATTTGTTTATTATTTTTTTTGTTTGTTTTTGCATTCTTTGTTGTAGGTTGATGCTCATAATATTGTTCCATGTTGGGAAGCTTCTCCAAAGTTAGAATATGGTGCTCGTACCATTCGACCTAAAATCCACAAAGTTCTGCAGTCATTCCTGACAGAGTTTCCACCTGTTATCAAACATCCACATCAAACAGAAGTGAAGTCAAAAGTAATTACCAAAATTTGTCAGTTTTTATTACTATGTTTTTATACTAAAAAAATAAAATTATTGACAACTCAAACTAGACTTGGTCTTGCCAAATCCAAATATTTGTTACTAACAGTAAAATGTGTTGTTTCAAGCTTTCATACATAACAATTAAAATTGTTTATAAAACATATTTTTTGACCAAAGGGAGCTGACTGGAGTGCAGCCATAGATTTCATTGAAGTGGATTCTAGTGTACCTGAGGTAGATTGGGCCAAGCCTGGAACTGCAGCGGGCTTAAATATGCTGGAGTCATTCTGCAAAGTAAGACTCAAAAACTTTGGTGCATCAAGAAAYGATCCAACCAAGAAYGCTATAAGTAATTTGTCACCATGGTTTAATACAGGTAAAAAGAAAGTATGATTTTAGGTATAAACACTGGTTTAGTATTTCAAAAACAGATTTGAGTGTTTTCATTTTAGGTTTTCTAATATGTTAAAACATTTGATGAGACCATTGAGAATGAGCTTTTCAAATTCCTGGGGACTTTATTATGGAGAAATTCACTGCAAAATTTTCCATTCTATGCAAGTTTTAGWCTACATTTCCAAAAKTGATTTTCTTTGTTTTATATGTATAGTTTAAAACACGATCTTGAGTGTTTTAAACGGCTTCAAAAACTCCAACACTAATTTGAAACTTAAAATTCTTGCAGAAATTGACATACAAATGTGTTCTGAGATAAATGGGGCAAAYTGATCATGCGCGAATCACTTTACAAAGCACTCTTGTCATMCCACATTGAATACGCATAAAGTAAAATAGAAYCGYTGTTGGCTGTTTATGCAATCGGTTGACATCCTGCATTGGTTGATGATCAGGTATCAAACCTGAGACCTTTGCTAGGGTCATGGACCTATGCATGTGACCAAATAGGCTCATTCTATTGGGCTAATAACTCATTAATTATGTATGAGTTYTTGAACAATAGTTTATAACTYCTTTTATTGAACGGTGGTTTCCCATGCACACAGTGAATTTGAGAAGGTGAAAGATGAAGTGACCATAAAAAAAACCATTGATATCATTTACTATTATTCAGGACAAATCAGCAACCAAAGAACAATCCTCAAAATAAGAGAATACCGAGGRAARTACAAAGACTCTGTTGAATCGTTTATTGAAGAAAGTGTTGTACGAAGAGAACTTTCTGAGAATTTCTGTTATTACAATGACAAGTACGACTCCATTGAAGGGACAAATGACTGGGCTAAAAAGACTTTGAAAGATCATGCTAGTGACAAGAGAGAATACTTGTATGATAGAGAAGCATTGGAAACAGCTAAGACTCATGATAACTTATGGAATGCTGCTCAGGTATGTTTCTAGATTAGAACCATTGATGTCTTTGTCCTTTAGGGCCCTGTGAATACGAGACTTCAAGTTGAATGACTAAGACTTGCAATTTTGGAACAGGTCCATTTCTGTCAATGGTAAATTTTTATTCACATTTGTTGTTTTCTTCCAGAGACAGCTTACACGTGAAGGAAAGCTCCATGGTTTTTTACGTATGTATTGGGCAAAGAAAATCCTTGAATGGACAAAAACCCCAGAAACTGCATTAGCTGATGCTATTTACTTTAATGACAAATATGCATTGGATGGCATTGACCCCAATGGATATGTAGGTAGGTAAAATAGGGCAAAGCCCATGTTATCCTGATATCACACATTTTCACATTAGTCATATGTTTAAATATCCAACTTATAGTCGATAATTATTGCAGTTTTACTTAATCTAAAATGAATCCTAAAAATTCTGAATATGTTGTATTAGCCACAAGAAAGTGCTAGTTTTCGATTGCTCAAGTGATTGGTTGATGAATTATATTACCACTGCATTTGTTGTACCAGCCAACAGTCTCCAGTATTATTCATTAACGCAATTTATATCACTTGCCTTGCAATCATTTGAAGCAATCGAGAGAGAGAAACAACACAAAAAATATTATATAATATACATAATGTDTAAGGAACAATTCGGATAAGTAAAACTTCATTAACAACTTACTATCTTAAGATGGACAATCTAGCAAATTTTTAACTCTGAACTAGAATGATCAATGTAGTAAAGTTTTAATTTTTAGTGGCCTAAATTTGACCCTACTAGTACAATCTGTGATAACTGTGTTTGTTTTTAGGTTGTATGTGGTCAATATGTGGCATTCATGACCAGGGTTGGGCAGAAAGACCTGTGTTTGGCAAGATACGTTACATGAATTATAAAGGTTGCCAAAGGAAATTTGATGTTGCAGAATTTATCCGCCGGTATAAACCCTAACAAGGGGGTTGTACGTACTTGCCCAACACTGACAAATCGATGCATTAAGCATTGTATTGCGTTTTATTATATTGCGTTCTTAAAATTATTATATTGTTAATCTATGTTATGCAATACAATAAACTATGCATAAATTTGTTGGATTGTTGTACAAACCCAACATTGTAAGGGTACTATGATCGTAAAAGTTATTCTATATTTGTACAAAGTCAAAATAATTTTAATTTTTTTTTCATATTAAAAATTAAACATATTTACGTGTACTATGTACTATATATATATTTATTTCTGCATGAGAAATTCKGAATGCACAAGAGGCTGCATGACAATGTCAACAAATGAGATATGCAACTAAATTGACTTTTATTCTTTTGTACACCAAACAAACGTGCCTATATTATGTAAATTGRCTAATCAATTTGTCAATGGTCAACATATTTTTATTCTATGAACTTTTATAAAACACTTTTGACCAGTTTTCACATATAGTGCTTACACTATCTCCATGAAATAAAACCTAAAATATACTTACTAACAAATAGTTTTTATTTAGTGACCGTTAGTCACTATCGTTTAGCTGGAACAGCTTCAGTAGCAATAGCAAATGTGCAAGGGAAACCATGTTTTTATAATGTAATGTAATAATGTAATAAATGAAGGATAATGTCAATTAAGATCTGTCTATTGTTGTTCCAGTTGAATGATAGTAACTAATAATCACTAAATAAAAATTATTTTTTAGTAGATTTATATGTTTTATTTCACAGACATAGTGTGAGCACTTGATGGTTTAGTTCCATTCAAGCAATATCTACTAAACAATCATTTATTCCAATATGTCAGCCATTTTCCAATAAAGATGAATGAATAGTTGAGTGAGAAKAATGGCATTTTAGTTGCATATTCATATTTTTTCAATGGATCATTAACCTGAATAGTATCAACCACCACCCAATACAATAGTACCTACTAAGTCACAATACCACGCAATTGATTTGAAGTGGAATGAGAGGTGATTGAAAATTACYATAGATGGAAACTTTGYAATATCACATGATATCATGTCATGGTGTGAAGCCTCGTCTGTTATGCTTTACGAAACATATTTTTTCAATATTCTCTATTTCTAAAATAGTTTCAATTCCAACAATATCTATCTCTCAGATGATTATTTTTACTCATTTCCTAATGAGCCAAGAGGCTGTCCATATTTGATTTTCTGACCAGTTTCTGCAGTGAATACAAAGTCCTTTGGTGCCTCAAAGATGAGCACAATAGTTGAACCCATGTTGAAGCCTCCCATCTTTTCACCTTTCTTTAGACAAACTCCTTGATTATCTGTTACTGATAACAGCTTTTCACCATAATCTCCAGGGATATATTTTCCTTTCAGATTTGTTCTCAATTCCTGTTTTGAAAAGAAAGTACTCRCTTAATGATAAATTAAAACAAGAAAATAACAGAATGTATAGTGTTTCAGTCAATTCTTCGACATGGCAAGACACATAATAAGGAGTCAAAAACAGGATGTTTACCCCAGACACAAAGTTCGAAAACATTTATTATTCACTAGAAATCTAATAATTCATTCAAATGAGAGACAACTCCTATTATCTCAAAAGGTTTTCTCCAATCTTAAGTATGGCAAAATGAAGGACAAAACTGAGTACTTACCGGCTCAAAATCAAGGTAGATTGATCCGACATTATGAGCACCAACAGCAGAGTAAGAAAAAAAGCCATGTTTCCAAGTACCACTTAAAACAACTCTTTCATTATAATTAAATAAACCTTTGATAAGTCTTTGAATACTGGGGCCAACAGATAGCAGGTCACCTGAAATAAAAATAAATAATAAAAAAAATAAAATATTATTTTTGGTATCCTAAGGGACTTTAAATTAAGTTGTTTTCAAACATCCAAATCAAGTATRTGAAATAGTACTAATGAAGTAATGTTGAAATGCTGGATTACACAATAGAAAACAAAGTAACATATTTGAAAACTATTGTTTGATTAGATCATTATCCAGCCTAGGTGTACAACACGCTAATGAGCTAGTTATGCATTTTGGCCCTGATTAGAAAACTGGACATGATATCAAAAATGTTTCCTTGCTTCCTCGCCAATCATAGTATTACAAAGTAATACCATTTCACTCGTGAAATTAGTGATTAAATTTCCCTGAAACCAAGGGAAAATTTGTGGAAGTCCCGAGGGCGCTCACTAATTCMCCTCRTTCCATRGTATTACTTATAATAAATACTGTTWGATATGCTCTGTTATATGATATTTCATGTGGTATTGATGAAACACTTTGGAATTTACTCTATCATAGACTGGGAATGTAGGTATACCATAATGTCAATTAACTCAAAAAACGTGATTTTCTTTATATTCACACCCAGATATGTATTTTTATAATATGTATTCTTATAAGTTTAGTTGTTGCTCAGAATGATAAAGTGTGWACATTATTTGCCAGAATGACACAAAACCGAACAATACAAAAACCCTAAATTTGTGCCACCAAAAATAATACTATTAAGTGTGAAATTAACAAGTTGTATCTACAAACCTGGAAAATGTCTTCTTAATTTGACTTCCCAGTCTGCTGGTGAGTGRAAGCAATGGTAGTCCCCAGGACCCAAGTATARGACACACTGATACAGACAGGTTTTATCTTTAGGCGTGCAGTCCAGTTCATGTGGATGTCCAGGTCCCAAGAATGTTGTCATATCATATGTTATTCCTTTGACTTGCTCTACTTCATTACCCTCCACTTTACCAAAATGYAGTACAACACCATCTGAAGGACTTGTCTAAAATAAAGAAAAACAAAAATTAAATTTTGATCAAAGCAAATTTTTCCCCCTAATTTAAAAAAAAACCTGCCCCTTAATTACATGTATTAGAGTGATTTTCCTTGAACCTTAAGTACTGTTTTACAATAAAATGCAACTAAGTGTATTATTTACCAGTTCAGAGTTCACATTTATCGGTCTTGTTTCTGGTTTAAGCTCCCTACGGAAGAATGCTCCTACACTCGGATAACTTTTTATATCTCCAACAACTGCTTCATCTAAATTACATGAAAATGTCCAACAATATAATCCAATAATAGGCCATCTCAGCCACTCTGGCAAATCGATATTAATTACTTGACCAAATGCTCGTGACATGGCTCTTGATGGTATTTTTCTATAAAGTGCAACCTGGAAAGAATGATTGGTCATATTTAGTTTTACARTGATGTAAATACATGTAGGCTCTTTTAGGCACTTTCAAGTCACTTAACTAGATCATTTTCTTCTCATTTCTGTTCGTAATTATTATTTTTCTAATTCCTGTTCTTCATTAACTTTATTCTCCAACTGTAGCAAAAATTGGTAGAATACTAGAGTGCAGTTTTACGAATACGCACAAACAGAACCGCTGTTGGCTGTTCACTGCAATCAGTTGACATCCTGCATTGGCCAATGATCAGGWATCAAACCTGAGACCTTCACTAGGGTCATGGACCTTTATATCTGATAAAGGTCACCCTTATTWGTATTCTTTATATAAAGAATACTAATAAGGAGTGTTTTATCAGATATAAAGGTCCATGCATGTGACCAAATAGGCTCATTCCATTGGCCTAATAACTCATTAATTATGTATGAGTTTTTGAAAGCATTTTAAACACTTTTTCATAGTAACCAACAAAATTCAGTTTACACAAAAAAAAATGCCAACCCTTGAATCCACTATATTTGCATAGCAAATGCTTGAGATTTGAATTATGTTTTTACCTGCCAGTTCTTGGCCAGAAGCTCCTCCGGGTTGCTGTGTGAAATTTTATTTTTTTCTCTTTTTTTAATGTGACCATATTGTTGAAAACAAATGTATGCAAACCCAAGACTTGCAGGAATACTAAACCACTTCAGTGAAGCCCAGTACCTTTTGAAACCATGAGTAAACCTCCCTAAAAACAAACCATTATATCAATGTACAGACCCAGGAGGGTGGTGTTGAGTAACAATCTTGAGTAATCTCAAGTGTCTTACTCAAGATTAGTTCCTTTTCCTTTGACAGATTACCTGTCTGCCGTCATGAAATTGATACACAGAGTAAAAATACTTACAACTATTGGRTAATTTGACCCCGGATTCGATAATATTTGCATATGTCTGACCCCTYCCCCTTTGGGTTAAATTTTTCTCGCTGCGCAGGGCTGTCAAATTTTCACTGACTGCGACCTCGTGTCTCGATCAGCAAAACCAGTTGGCGGCCGTTGAACAGCATAGAAGCAAATCATAAACTCAAGAAATGGTCTAGGAGTTCATTTTTCGAAAGACATTAATCAATGTCGTTATATAATGTCAAAATAATCTAACCTGCATCGCTCGAATACGACGAAAACGTTCGCCGGTGAGTGTTTGTAGATAAGAAGCGTTTACTCGCCGAAAACCCATTATTTGAAACCGAATTTTTGTGAAGTACTTTAAGAACATATAATTCTTGGATTGGAAACCTTTGAAATGTTCTTTTTGTTAAAAATAAAGCCATTTTTGGAGGAAAAGAGTCTTGYTTAATCTTACGCAATCGCACGAAGATGGTATGGTGCTTGACTAAGGCCGCTGTACAGATGTACCGCTCACACAACACACTTTGTCYAATGACTCGATGATGGTGAAATAATAAGGATCAGTTTTCTTTGCATATTTTATGCAATATGATATCGTTTACCCCTGAGCTTATCAACTGAAAAAAGCTTTGCGAATCATTTTCAGCGCTACACGAAAATTTTAAAATTATATTTGCGCATCTTGCAGAATAACAAATAAAAATGCGCATATATTATTTCTTAGCTTTTTTATGTTCTTTTTTTCACATGAGCGCGTAAACTACTTCAATAAAATGTAAGGATTCGTTACCTGAATAGCTGTAGTGGTGAGGCTCGCCGAATAGTTCAGACCAACAAGGTCCGCTGCAACTACTGAAGAACGCGTAGCTCAACAGAATAAAAACTACTATTTGCGTATTAAAGCGGACATCACAGTTCATCCCCGTCATGATCACTTTTACCTATGAACGAGACGAAAAAAGGATCAGATTCTCCAAATTCACCATCATGTTTATGCATTTTTAAGTAGAAATATACAATTTACAGCCACCAACATTAATTTCAAGGCTTGAAACGTGAAGTTGGAAAGATGCCAGACGAGTACTTTTTGGGATGAAGTCAAATTTTAATGAGAGCAATTCAAAATTTAGATACTGCTTGAAAGAGATGTCACCAATTGGTCTTTATGCGTAGTTTTCAGGAAAAGTTTTTTTGAATTCAAAAAGTTACGAAAAAGCAAGCAAAAGTTCCTTTTATGGGATAATACCCGTCATAAAATTGCGTATCGGTCCGCATGCATATAGAGCTGAAAATTTTGATCTGAGGATTATGAAACGTCTGAAACTCATCATTTTGAATCAGGTAAAGACAGAGTTTCAAGCCTTGATTTCAGTAGTCAGCCATTCTATAAACGTTCTATATGCCCGCGTATTTTGTCACACGCCCATTTCTGCGATTTGAATCACTTCGCCAGTAGAGTAGTCTATGCTACTACCTAAGTTATTACTGCAAATATACTTGGATCTTGAACTCTTTCAATGTTAGGCACAAGGAATACCAAATCAAGTAATTATATGGCACAAAAGAAGGTTTTTTCCATTACCCTTGCATTCATTACAATGAATTGCTTTAAAAAAATAGAAARGTTGTTCTGTTTACCACAAAAAATAGCAACTAATTCTAGCAGTCTTGATAAATGTATCTTGCAGAAACAAAAGGACCGTCTGCTTCAACTGATGGCTAGCTGTATTAAACCGAACTCTAGTAGTTTTCCAGTAGCCCCATGTCACGTCCTATCACGTGCTACATCGAARCGACAGCGCGTGGAACCCAACTCCCCCAGAAAATAAGCAGAAATTACTCAAAAATGGCTCGAGTTCTTTTGAAAGTCATTCTAAACATTGTAGTTCGACTCGTTTGCAAATGTGATGGATAAAAAGTAATTTTTTTCATTTGTGTACTTTGTACACCTTGAAACAGATACAAAAGAATCTTCACTGTAAATTGATCGCAGTGTTGCGTAACAGTAATTTAGGGGGGTAGGGTGAGGAGTGGGTARGAGCGAGGGAGACARTATTGATTAAATTGCGAAACGTACAAATTTAGGATTTTCGCTGTTGTACTCTGACAATTAAAGAATATCTGCCCTTTTCTCGTGTCCCGCAGGTAAACAGAAGAAGTCTGGGACACAATTATAGCTAATGCACACTAAAGCGAGCGTGGCCAATCGACTGTCACTCCCCGTGATAGACTACAACTCCAGAGACGAAAATTTGTACACTTTTGATGGAACAAAAAAAATATGCAAAAGTGAAGGCTCAAGATATTGGAGTACACGGCAAGAAAGACTGCTATTTTTAAAGCACTGTAAAACCTTTTTCACTTCACTAAAAAATTATAATAATTTATACGCCAACACCCGGCGTGAGCGAGACGTCTGGATTTATTATAGAAAACTAAACACAAGTTTGAGATTTTTAGACGACATATCTCGGTAAAATATTATGACGTAAACATTTACATATAAGAATATTAAGTATAAAGCACTATTAGTCTCATTACTGTAATAATTTGCATCAGTAAAAYTACCGAATTTAACGGTCCAAAGTTCGTATCTGTGATAAATTACATTATGCTTACTAAATGTTAAGAACTCATTAAGCTTATTTGTTCAGCAATTTCCCTGTAAAAGCAGAGAAAAGTAGGGTAACATATAAAAGTAGAAAAAGATAGGGACTAATAATAATTTCATTTCATTTTATAATATCTTACAAACCACTTGCGAAATTCAATCGCACATGGTAAATATTTTGCATGTTAAGTAGATTTTAAGTTTATGCATGAATAGATTTGGGTGTTCCTGGCGACAGTCGTTTTTACAGATATAATTCAAGCGAAGCTTTCAARTAAACAAAACCTACCTTTTATATTTTTCATGGRTTATTCCTTCCTGCAAATAAAGATAATTCTAGTGGCTTGAAGACGCAAAAGATGTTGAAAATATGTTGCTTTTATGTTGACAGGCGAGACGCCGGTACGTATCGTATAGAGTAAAAAACATCAAAGCACAAGTTTGATCTTTGCTCGCTAGGCTTTCTCCAAATGATGGTTTAATTTCTCAACACATATGAGCCTTTTCTCTCTGTATCTACCTGCACGAGCCCTTTTTAGTATTGATTCTTAGAACAAGTAAAAAGTAACATCTGAAGAAAATTTTCTCTGAACGCTGTTCTTTCACATTTGTGTTGATTTGAATTATTACTAATATGGAGATGTTTGAGCACGTGACAACACGTGGTTTTTGCATATTTTAATATTTTTACACCAAGAAAAATTCAGTGATTTTACTGGCGCCAGAAGTTGTTGCAAAATGCAATTTTAGATAAAGGTGTTGTTTTAAACTGCTTTACTTGAAAAGCCGAGTAATTTGATGTAATTTTCAAAATTGACTGTACAAATGATGTATTTCATGTTCAGATTAAGTATTTCCTTGTGGTCTGATTTAAGTCTGGATAGTATTATTTTACGTACAATCAGATTATTACCATARATTGTATCTATCATCAAATCATCAGTATATAAGAGTGTATAAACATTTTTTGTCTGTCTTGTATTCGTTTGTTTTTGCTTTTGCTTTCAGTTTTGTTTTGTTTTGTTTTTTTCTTAATTTTTTATTTGTTTGTTTTAAGTTCGTTTTGTTGATAACCTGGTKCCAGAAGTTTGATATTTTCTTTCTTCGCTATTGTTTTTGTGTGATTTTTCAATCTCTTGATTTTTCCATATATCCCGCACGAACATTAAATTAGTCTATATGATAGCTACCTTCATTACATTCAGGCCCGTAACCAGGGGGGTGCACTGGGTGCACGTGCACCTCCCCAGAGAAGCTGAAGGTCCGTTCATCGACGTTCATCATACCTCCATGTTTTTAAAAATTATAATATTTTGTCGAATTTATCCACGAATCAACCGGATTTGGTTTTCAAGGAGAACTGGATTCGAACTTAATTTATGAAGGACCTTGTATAAGGTGTAGTGATAACGCATAATCAAAAATAATAAAGATAATCAAAAACGGTAATAAGTGTTATTAGTTGTAATAGAGTCAATTTCGTATGAGTGGGAAGAAACGTACGGCTACCGCACAGTTACCGGACCTGGCCTGCACAATTTTTGTGAAGCAAAATGAGACACTAGAATTTGGTCACAGTACGATTACGGTTACAGTACCGTCCGTTCCCACTCATACGAAATTGACTCTACGCTGTTGTGTATTTCGTGTGGGGTTTGAAAACCACTCCGACTTTAATTACTGAAAAGTTGATACTAACAAGGAAGGCAAAGAATGGTCCGGTATAATCAGATATGCACCCCCTGGTAGACGTTCTGGAACTTTCGAAATCAAGAGTTTKTAAAAAGCCATAAAAACAGTGCGGAACAGAAAATTGGTCAAGGTTTGATAAATATTTACGTTTAAATACTAAAAAGAATATTTGATCTCCAGTTGTTTTACCTTTCACCCTTCTCCCCCAAAAAAATAAAATAGTAAGGTCCCCTGTACTGAAATGGCTTACGTAATCATGCTTGCAGTGATCGTTAGTTACGGCCTATCGTAGTTATATCGTACGCAGTTACGCCTGGCCTGTTAGGTCTTAAGTAGGTCTAAGTAGAGCGTAGAAATTAGGCAAACAAGATATCACGTGGTTTAARCTTGTTTTCCTCCAGAGTTAAGAGGGCTAAGAACCTATTTTAAGAACCAAAAATTTCGAGTTGATTGAGCAAAATGATGTAGACTCGAACAACTCGAAATTTTATGTTAAGATTATATTGAAACTTCGTCAGTATWTCAATTATGTTRTTAAAATTAAAATTAACTTTGAAGAAAAATGAAGGTGTTTTTATTTTGCATCGTTTATCCAAATGGCTTCGCTTTTTGGCAAATTAATTTATCTACAAAATTATCGATAATCACTGTTACTCCTGTGAAAATTTGAGTGCAATGGAATCGAAATTTGCGACGTCGTTGGAGTTTAAAAATACGCGCGAAGCGCTATTTATTACGATCGAAACACCTTAAATATAGGTTTATTCATCCCTTATGTAATGAGAATTGACAAGGTTTTTAAATATTATGTATACCAAATTTAGAAGTGTATACGTGTTCAAGTTCACTACAGTTTGAGGGTTTTTTTTGTTTTTGTTTTGCATAAATATTTTTTAGATTAATTTCTATGAAAACCTTTCTATAAGAACCTGTTCAAAATTTTAGGCTTAATAGATTCTTATGTAAATGGGTCTAATGGGTCCAGGTTCTTAAATGGCAGGTTCTTATATAAGAGGGTAAGGGACGAACCATTAAACTTTTGAGGGGGGGGGATGATTTTGAAAAAAAAAATCCTGCAAGCCATCTTCACCAAAAATATAAATCGTGCAAAACATATGGACCTAAAAAAAAATCTTGCACCACCCTAAGCCCAAAAAAATGTTACATACAAGAAAAAAAAATTCCTACACGCCACCAAGAGAAAAAATATATCCTACCCAAAAGCCACGGAGAAAAAAAAATCTTGCTCAGTCACAAGAAATCATCCACCCCCCCCCCCCCCCCCCCCCTCAAAAAATAAATGGACCGTCCCTAAGTACTGTATGAAGATTGTCTATGACAGCCAAAGAACGCAAGAGCTTTCTAGTTGA